TCCTCACTCTGTTCTTTGAAAACGTCCCCATTTACCCACCGCCACGTGCTCGTGTCTCGGAAGGACTTGACGTGTCACCTAACGCGAGCGAGAGGCTTCCAGCGGGCAATGAGGTCTGTTCAGGATCCCTGAAGTTCTTCACCCAAAACGTGAGCGAGGGGGACGCTCTCCTCGCCGCCGGGCCCCTCCAGGAAAAGTTTCTTCTGAGCAAGTACAACAAACAGAAAGGCTCCCTCCGAACACAGGCTGCAGGTTCGTTTATTTACCGGGCTGCGAAGCGGTGAGGACTAAAAGGGAGGGAGGTCTCGGGGGAGCGGCGGCTCATCTCAGCTGTCCCGGGTGTGGGCTGCAGCTTCTGATCTATTTCAGAGCAGCGCAGCGTGTTTGATCTGGATTTTAATACCTCACTTTTTTGGACAGTACATCTTCCGAGATGAAAGCTCAGCGTCCCTCATGGGGACGGCATGAAACGCACATGCCTCTAGTTAAGGCAGAGGGAGGGAAAGCCAAGCCCCACTGCCTTCCACCCAGGCAGGGCAACCGCCAGACTTTCGCCTGTGAAATCCACATTAAACGAAGGTTTTCTTAGTAATTAGCTCCCATAAAGACTAATTTTTGTTTGATATGTCGTGAGGGCTTGTCCCATTTCTGTGTCTCTTGACTGAAGGACTCAAGGCAACCCTTTCCATGCCTGGCAGCGGGGAGACGGCGGCGCTGCTCTGCAAAGGACCCACCTCGGGCCGCTCAGCGCCGGTGAACGTGGGGGGAAGGAACAGCCCGAGAGGGGGAACTCGACCCACAAGAGGAGAGAGGAGGAAAGATGGCAGAAACGACCGCGCATGTGTGGGCATGGCCGGGTCGAGGTCCCCTGAAGCACGTTAATTAGGAGAACGCCCCCGCGAGCGCGAGGCAGGCTCGGAGCGGGGTCTCGCCATCCACGGGAGCTGCTGGCGCAGCGCGTGCCCCCGGTTTGGGCTCTGCGCATCCGCCCGCATGAACCTCCCGGCTGCCACCGAGTCGGGGGGTTCAGCCACGTAACGCCCCAAAACCCCACACCCCAACACAGCGAGGACAGGGAGGGTTTAAACATAGCGAGAGACCTTCCTAACGGGACTCCGGATTTCAAAAAACCCAGGAGCCGTCCAGCTTCAGAGCACCCGTCCCCCGCCAAAAACCCGCGCGCTGAAGGTCCCCGGGGCAGGGGCTCGTCAGCGGCACCCTGGAAGGGCGCAGGGCAGAGCACCGGCGAGCTAGGCGAGCTCGTGGCGGACGG